GTACCAATTTTAGCCTCTTATTAGATGTTTCTCTGTTGAGGACTTGCTCTTTTCTTGGCATAATAGTAATAATAATAATAATATGATATAATATTGATTTAAATTCAGAAACGACGAATGCACTATCTATTCCATGATAATACGAAAACGATAAAAATACCTTTGCAAATGATAACAAGCTTCATATCAATAGACTCTGGCTTTTTGTATCACCATTCAACTAACCGGGCTATTGTATTCGATTGGGAACATGGTATTCAGTTTACCGGAATCATGAAGTGTTCTTCTGGGTTATGTAATAGGAGATAAAAAGTTAACTATTGAGTATAATGCAGATAGTTGAAATCTTCAGCCTCATAGACTACAGTTATCCTTATGAATAAAGATGAGCATCTCATTGTTTAGTTTTCCTCTATGGGACATACGTAAGCGTTTGGCAATACTGGAAGTTTAGTGCAATTGGTTAATTACTAATGAGGACTGTTATTCATTTCAATGAGCAATACGGGTATTTGTTATCCTACCCATTCTCTTCTACTTCTGACACAATCTGAGGTGCATCCTGGATCTTGTATGTGTAGCTTTGTAGTCTGATATAAGTAACTAAAAATGTTAAGTGTAACAGTAGTCTATCCAACTCATAAACTCGTAGTAAGTGAACGAAGCTACTAATTTTCTTCTAGGATGGATTCCTTTAACTCAGTTTTAAGGTTATCAGCATTTTTCTTACTTATTCAAGGAGCGATCTGTTTAGTTGCTGTGCTTACGTTTATGATGAGGTAGTCTGTGTAGTGGAATTTCTCATTGTTTTATCTCATTACAGTCTGAAGGCATAAATAAAAAAGTGTCTATGAAGAAGTTCTACAACTGGTTATCATTCAACAAGTGAGAACAGGTCTATCTAAACTAAAAAACCCGGTTTTAATAGGTACTAAATTAGAATTGAAAATGAAAACTAGAGTTACCTGATTTTATGAAAGTTCTGTGGGTTAGGGTACGGATACATCAACAAGTCCTGAATTAAAGAGTATCTTGGAGGTACAAAGGAGTAAAAACAGTTCAAAAGCATATTCTATTGTAGTCACATAGTTTTGACTGAGTAAGTGGCCATAGATCAGTATAGCAAGAAGTTGAGAATGTCGACATATTCTTAAGGTCTTCACTAATGATTCTGATGTAAGCAAAGTCAAAACTATGAATCTCATAAAAAGGCTTACGGTTTTCATCATCTAAGTAAAATGAAACATATCTTCTTGATTGTAAACGACCTCTTTTACCTGTAGGTTATAATCATTTCACTTAATAACGAGTAAGTTCGTGAAATGATGACCGAACCACCATCACTTTTAGTTCTAAGCACAACTTCAAATTTTTTCTCTTTTTTTAATAACTAATATCAGTAAATTTTGTTATCTTTATGGTTTTAGTCAACTACAGTTGGTGTGAGATGGTGAGAAGGCCTTTGACAGCGTCCACCGAGTAGTAATTTGGAAACTGCTTCATTACTACGGAATACCGCAAACCTTCATCAGCCTCATTCAACAACAAATGAAGACGCCACATACCAAGTAATTCACAATGCAAAGTTCAGCTCAGTGATGCTTTTGAAGTGAAGACAGGAAGGAGTACGACAAGGTTGTCTACTATCAACGATGATATTCCTGATTGTGGTTGACTGGATCATGCAGCAGACAACAGTGTGGAGCGAGAAGAGGGGAATACGCTGGCTGGACTGTGGAAAAGAACCTAGAAGACTTGGATTTCGCTGTCGATGACTTGTGCCTGATGTCACATAAACTTGAAGATCTACAGGCGAAAACCGACTAGTTGTCAGAAGAGGCAGCGAAGACATGACTACCTTCAAGTGAATATAGAGAAGACAGAGGTGATGAAGATACTGCACCACCACCACCAACAACAACAAACTCCAATCACCATCAACGGGAGAAACTTAAAGGAAGTAACCTCCTTCACCTACACCTATCTAGGCAGCACTGTTTCAACTACAGGCGGCCCAAGCACAGACGAGGATGTCAAAGTCAGCCAGAATCGGAAAAGCAAGACAGGCGTTCACTAGCGTGAAACCAGTGTGGAAATCTTCTGCACTCAGCGTGTCGAACAAGATGCGGATTTTCAACACCAATCCAGTCAAGTCAGTGCTTCTGTATGGTTGAGAGACTTGGCGCATTACGAAAGGGATTTCCAATAAACTATAGACATTCATCAACAATTGCTTACGCTGGCTCGTTACTGAAGATCAGATGGGTTGCCAGAATAATAAGAATGAGCAACAAGGAGCTGTGGGAAGGAACCACCCGAGAAGCTATCACTCAAGAAATATGGAGTGGAAGGAAGTGGAGATGGATTGGGCATACACTGAGAAGGGTGACTGGGGACATCAGGCGTCAGGTCAGGCCGTTGAGTGGAACCGAGATGGGAAACGACGAGTTGGGGGTCTGAGGTGAGGGTGACATGGAGGAGGTCGTGCGAGGAGGAAATGAGATGTTGTGGGCTGTTGCGGAACCATGTTGAAAAGATATAATAGGAGAGTGTGTAATGGAGACGTGCTGGTGAATCCCTATGTTCCATTAGGAACCCAAGGGACTACTACTACTACTAATAATAATACAGATGGTATTTGTGGTCATTTTATCCCTCATGAATGTGCTTAATTTTGTTTTCAAATTCGCTTTTGTTTTTCCTTATGATTCTGTTCTAATCATTTGTTAGAGATGTGAATAGGTCGTATAGAATTCATATAATTTCAACTGTATATTCGTTTTTTATATCTTTATCATGTCTGAGCCTTAATTTAACTTGGAATCATATCACTCAACAAACTTCTGGAATCTTTTTGGTGGTCTGTACATGCAACTATATACTGGATATGACGATATGACATAAAAGTTGAGTTCAGGTACTTTAGTTGAATATAGTTCCACTTCGAATTTTTCCATATGATGTGACATACCCTGATAAGTCATATTTAGGGACATTGAATTGTATCTGTATCCAGTAAATAATACTGGGTTACTGTGTACTATCTGAAATAAACAACTCTTACTATTTATTTACTGTTTTTCATTTTCTGCAGCATGTCTAAGGATTTTTTCGCTTTTAAATACAAATAATAATCTTGCCTAATCGTTGAGCTTAGATATTGTTTTTGTTTTGCGGGGGGGGGGGTTCTTTTGAGTGAGATAATCACTTAGCAATTTCAGTATTAATAAGCTAAGTAGGATTATTTTGTCTTTTATTTATTGATAAAAATAAAATAATTAACTAAGTTATTTAGTAAGTTAATTAAAAAGTTATTTAATGTTTAGTAAGTTGTTGTTGAAATCACCTAAACACTTACTGATCACTTAGATTATTTTCCAGTTTGGTAGATAATTGACCTAATTATATTTATAATATCTTCAAGCTTTTTAATGACTGAGTTTATAAAAAATTACCCTTTTTGCTTACAATGCACTTGAAAACGTTAGTTATAAGAGATTTTTTACTCCAAACGGTTAATTGTATGAAAACATTATAGTAAAAGTAATCAAAAGTTTCTATATCTCTATATTCTGTTTGTTTATCTATTTTGATTGTCATTTAGCAGTTGCTTCAACACTACGGAGTGCCACAAATCTTTATCAACCTTATTCAATAGCTATATTCTGTATGATGCTACATGCCAAGTGATACACAATGGAAAGCTGGGTGACGCCACTGAAGTGAAGTCAGGAGTAAGGCAAGGCTGCCTTCTGTTACCGATCTTCATGCAGCAAACCGTGAGGAGCAAGAAGATGGGCATACTCTGTTTGATTGATGAAAAGACCCCAGAAGAAGATTTGGATTTCGTCCATGATGATTTATGTCAAATGTCTTGCCACACAAACTCGAAGATGTACAGGTGAAAACTATGAAGTTGACAGAAAGGCAGGGGAGGGCAGGGCAGGACAGGACAGCGAAAACTGGACTTGAAGTGAATGTAGAAAAGACGGAGGTGATGAAGATACCCAACGAACAACAGCATGAACAACAAGCACCAATGACGAATGAGCATGAACGGGATAAACTTAAAGGAAGTAGTGTGCTTCACCTACCTAGGCAGGACAGCATCGTTTCAACTACAGGTGGTGGTGGTGGTGGTGTTGGTGGTGGCACAGACGAGGATGTCAAAGCAGGCAGGATCGGAAAAGCAAGATAGGCGATCGTGCATGAATCTGAAATCAGTGTTGAGATGTAGTGCACTCAGCACAAAGGATGAAGGTGGTGTGGATTTTCAAGACTGATGTCAAGTTATTGCTGCTATATGGTTCAGAAAGTTGTCGTGTCATGAAAAGCACTTGCAACAAACTACAGACATTCATTAGTAACTGCAGCCTATGCTCACTCGATACTGAAGATCAGATCAGATAATAATAATAATAAGGATTATCAAGGAGGAAATCTTGAAACGAACCAAAGAAGCAAGAGCCTATCACCTAACAAATATGCATCAGGAGGAAGTGGCTATGGATTGAACTGGATATAAACTGAGAAGACCGATTGGGGAGATTATGCGTTAAGCCAAGTGGTCGAGTAAAATCACAAAAGGAAACGACGAGTTGGACGTCTGAGTAGAGGTTGACATGGAAGAGATCATATGAGGAATAAATGAAAGGTTGTGGGCAGTCGTGGTGCTAGGTTGTAAAAACTACAGAGAAGAGAGTGTAATGGAGGCATGCTAGTGAAGCCCTATGTTCCACTAGGAACCCAAGGTTTCTACAATCTATTTCGATTGATAATTAGAATTCCTTTCAGATTATAGTACAAATTGTGATAATCTTTTAAAAAAATACGCATTTAATAAAATAAATTCAGTTACATAAAAGTTAATTTTCTGTATAGTGGCTGGAACTGTTGAAGTCACACTTAACCAGTCAATAAACAGTATTCAGCCTCCATATATATTCTATCTCAGATTTTATACTGACTATAGGTAAATATATCTATTGAAAAAAAGAGCTCATATATTCAAATTAATATATTGTGTTGACATAAATGTGCACATAATTAGAATACATTTCAGACAATTTTCGTATCAAAATTAGTGTTTTGCAATACAGAATCCAACTCATAATCATAGTAATCACTTTCTTCATTTGTATCTTCAATTTTGGTAAATTTATTTTTCATATATTCATCAAATCTTATATCCAGAGACAATAGTTCATCATCGTCATCATCACCGTTATTATTAGCATCAAAATCCTCGTTTATACTATTGTTTTTATGCATACTTTTATTATGACGGAATTCATTAAGACTGTTTCTTTGATTATATTCTATTTCATTTGAAATATATTGTGGATATTGTCTACAAGTCTTATTACTTACTTCATTATGACGGGTACTACCTTTTGTGATATGTTTGTTGAATAGTACAACTGCTTCATTATTACGAATAAAGTTATTACTACTATTAGTGCTACTTTGAGTAATATAATTCATGAGCTGTTTTGCTTTTTTATTGTTTCTTGTCACTATGTGATTAGATAATGAAGGGATTTTATAACTGATAGAGGCATCCGCTAAATAAGGTGTTGTCTTTGTACTTGTATTGGTTAATGGAATGAATTTTAGTGAATTTTCTGAATTGTCATCTACCGGTTTCGGACCAAATACTTTATGAATTGTACAATGTAATTTAGCTTTGTGTGCATAAATAAAAATACGTAAAGGGAATGAACATAAGAAAAGTGTAGCTATTAAATAAGTAATACCTTTTAAATAAATTGGAGGTTTTGATGACTGTTGCATTATTAGTAGTTGTTTAGGAAACCTCACAATATTGGAGAATGTACAAACTGAAAGTAAAAGAAAAAGGAAATTCAATTGAGATGCACAAAAATAATGGGGACATTGGCTATGTATTGAACAGTTTATTGAGTATCTTTGTAATATAAACGAAAAAAATAGTTTTTAATTGACTAGGCAAAGTGTTCAGAAAATTGATACATATACTTCTAGGATGACAGCCTTGCCAGTTATCATGATTGTGACTAAAAAGTGGAATTTATGTGATCTGATCTAGTATTTCGTATTCAGCACAATGGAACCTAAGATTTTTCCAGTTGTTTATATCTCCATAATAAGTCTTAGAAATGGAACTTTAGCGTACAAGGACCTATTTACATGACATCTTTACAAAAGGTAGAAATTCATTTTCCTATGAAAGATAGATGTGTGACAAAAGTCATTGGCTTTGAAGTATTTGATCTTAAGCATACAGAATATATGGAAGAACCATGCACATAATGAGTCATCTAACTGTAATCCAGATAGTTTTGAGTTTGAAGCCCTCGTTAATCACTAAATTCTGAATAATGAGTTTTTACTACAATCTCATGAAGAATGAGCTTCACTCATTCATGGAGACGTAAATGTTTGTGCAATGTTTGATTATAAGTTAAGTAGTTCATTGATGTAAAAAACTATGAAAGTATGTTTAACTAATAACTCAATCATTCAATCATGTAGATAAACGAATATCGAAATTCTCCTTTTTTTTATATATTTTGCTGGCATTTATTAGCACTGAGTAGGAATAAGTGAAGGAGAAATTCGATCCTAGGGCTTACTACTAAGTATTTAGCACCTTTCTATATACTACATACCATATAATAAGTAATCGAATTTCTTCTATTCGTCAATGTTAGCTATAGCCAGCTAGCTTGAAACCATGTTGCTTTATACTCCTTGGTGCTGTCCAGTGAACTTCCTTTCTCAAGACAAGTTTTGTGCTCGGGGTTGATATGTCTTTTGTCGTTTATTACTAGTGAATAAATTAAGGAATGGTCTAATACATTGTACTCCATGTGTTCGTATTGATATTCTTGAGGTGCAGATAGCTGAAAAAGGCTTTTTTCATAAGCATTTATAGTCAACCAAAATGGTACTTTGACCTTGTTTTTTCGACTTGTAATACAACACATGCTGGGTGTCAGAAATCCTCGACTACAGCCTAGCAGTCGTATACTGGTGGAACCATTAGGTTTTATGAAACAATAATCTATCAAAACATACCTAGAATCTCATTGAAAGACTAATATTTATCAATGTTATACAAATAAAATTTTTATTCCACTTCGTAGCCAAGGATGAGGATGATAACTGTTAAATGTCCCCCTAACTTTGATGTATGTTGTTGGATGTTCCATTAACATTCAATTCATGAAGTAAATGATGACAAAGTCTTCCAGAATGGTGATGAAATGTGTTAGAACAAATCTCAAAGTTCAGAAAACACTAAACAATTATCATCATGACATATTTCAGTAAGAAAGAACCAGTATACGAAAAGCTGTACCCATTTCTTAACCCTCGCCTGGTTAACTAGTTCACTAGTTACTAGCTGGTCCTAAGCCCGGGTAAAGAAAGAAGGTTAGACATAGGGCTAGCAACCCTACCCCGTAAAACAAATCTAACCGCTAAAGAAAATTTAAAGCACAAACGAAATACAAAAAATAATAACAAAATTATTCCTCACTGGAATCGGAGAGGCGAAATGACGCCAGTCGGTGAAAGCCTTCGGGAAGCCAATTGGCCAATGTCTTCTCTTCTCTCGATGAAAGCGAAAGTAAGAGTGGGACATGGAATGTCCGCACGATGTCTGAACCCAGTAAGGCAACCCAGATTGCAAAGGAGATGAGAAGGTATCACATCGAAGTGCTAGGAATTTGCGAAAGCAGATGGAATGGAAGTGGACTCTCCAAACTCTCAACTGGAGAATCAATAATCTACTCCGATATTGTCACCCAGACGACAACCACGAGCACACTGAGTTGTGGAGTAGCTAACATTATGTCCCCAACAGCATCGAAGGCTCTCATGCAGTGGGAACTAATCTCCTCCAGGATCATGGCAGCAAGATTCAACTCAAAAGGAAGTAAGGTCACAATCATACAACGCTACGCTATGCACCTACAAATAATGCAGATGAAGAGAAAAAGGAGAAATTCTACAGACAACTTCAATCAACACTGGACAAGACGTCAGTTGGCGATATCAATATTCTAATGGGCGACATGAATGCCAAACTGGGAGGGGACAAAACAGGAAGAGAACAAACCATGGGTCGAGAAGCACTAGGTGAGATGAACGAGAATGGAGAATTTTTTGCAGAATTCTGTGCATTCAACGATTTGGTGATTGGAGACAGTGGGTACAAACACAAAGACATTCACAAAGCAAGCGACATGGATTTCACCAGATGGACACACTAAAAATCAGATCGACTTTATCTCAATCTCAAGAAAGTGTAGCCGCAATCAACCTACTTGACACAAGGTCAAGAAGAGGAGCAGATGTAGGTTCAGACCACTATCTAGTGCAAGCAACCTACCTTCCAAATCAAGTTGAAAGCCTTCAAGGAAGTTGGTGACAGACGACCACAGTTCAAGTACAACACTCGGAAACTGAAGGATGAAACTACAAAAGAAATCTTCACGTCAGCCAGCCATCAAGACGAAATGGGAGATATCGAGGAACATCCTTGACGAAACCTGTGTGGAAGAACACTAGAAGTCTTTGAAAGAGATGTGGAAAGAAACCCGCACAGCCTTATTAGGAAGGAAGAGGGAAGAAGATAAGGAATGGATCTCAATGGATACATGGAAGCTGATAGAGCAGGGAGAGGAGGAAGGTGAAGCAGACGATAAACCGGTGCAAGGATGCACAACGAGAAGAGGAACTGTGCACAATGTATGAAACACTGGGCAAAGAAGTGAAGACGAGTGCACGCAAAGACAAATGACACTTCTTCAAAACACTGGCAAGTGAAGCAGAACAGGCTGCAGGTAAGAGAGACCTGACGACATTGTATCAAATAACCAGGTTGCTATATGGGAAGAGATCAACGCAGACGAAGCCAATAAAAGATGATGACGGAATTATAATTACGAAAGAAGAGAAACAGAGGAAACAATGGGCTGACCACTTCAAAAAGCTCTTGAGTCGACCACCACCACCACCTGCACTTCGTCCAGAAATACCACCTACAGTCCAGCTACAGAACTACAAGTGAACATAAATCCTCCAACGAAAATGGAAGTTCTGAACGCCATAAAGCTACTGAAATATGGGAAAGCAGCAGGACCAGATGGGATACCGCCAGAAGCACTGAGAACAGACGCAGAGACAACAGCGGACATGTTCACACCACTATTGCAGAAGGTGTGGAAGGAAGGGAAGGTAACTGGTGATTGGAAGAAGGGCTATCTTGTCAAACTCCCGAAGAAGGGAGTCCTCAGTGTTTGCAAGAACTGGCGCGGAGTCACTCTCCTGTCCACCCAGAGCAAGCAAAATACTAAGCCGCATCATCCTGGAGAGGCTACAGGATGCGCTAGATTCAAAACTACGACCGGAACAGGCAGGCTTGAGGAAGTACAAATCATGTGCGGACCAAATTGCAACGGTACACTACGCATCATCATAGAACAGAGTATAGAATGGCAGTCAACTGGATCTCAACCTCAACTTCATCGACTTTGAGAAGGCCTTTGACAGCGTTGACTGAGTGGTAATTTGGAAACTGCTTCATTATTACGGAATACCACAAACCTCTATCAGCCTCATTCAACAACAAATGAAGACGCCACATAACCAGTAATTCACAATACAAAGTTCAGCTCAGTGTTGCTTTTGAAGTGAAGACAGGAAGGAGTAAGACAAGGCTGTCTACTATCACCGATGATATTCCTGATTGTGGTTGACTGGATCATGCAGCAGACAACAGTGTGGAGCGAGAAGAGGGGGATACGCTGGACTGCGGAAAAGAACCTAGAAGATTTGAATATCGCCGATGACTTGTGCCTGATGCTACACAAACTTGAAGATCTACAGGCGAAAACTAACAAGTTGTCAGAAGAGGCAGGGCAGCGAAGGAAGACGGGACTTCAGGTGAATATAGAGAAGACAGAGGTGATGAGGATACCCAACCAACAACTCCAACAACAACAACAACAAACTCCAATCACCATCAACGGGAGGAACTTAAAGGAAGTAACCTCCTCAACCTACACCTATCTAGGCAGCACTGTTTCAACTACAGGCGGCACAGGCACAGACGAGGATGTCAAAGTCAGCCAGAATCGGAAAAGCAAGACAGGCGTTTATTTGCCTGAAACCAGTGTGGAGATCTTCTGCACTGCACTCAGCATGTGGAACAAGATGAGGATTTTCAACACCAATCCAGTCAAGTCAGTGCTTCTGTATGGTTGAGAGACTTGGTGCATTACGAAAGGGATTTGCAATAAACTACAGACACTCATCAATAACTGCCTACGCTCACCCGTTACTGAAGATCAGATGGATTGCCAGAATAATAAGAATGAGCAACAAGGAGCTGTGGGAAGGAACCAACCGAGAAGCTATCACTCAAGAAATATGGAGTGGAAGAAAGTGGAGATGGATTGGGCATACACTGGGAAGGGTGACTGGGGACATCAGGCGTCAGGTCAGGCCATTGAGTGGAACCCAGATGGGAAGCGACGAATTGGGGGTCTGAGGTGAGGGTGACATGTAGGAGGTCGTGCGAGGATTAAATGAGATGTTGTGGGCTATTGTGGTACCAGGTTGAAAAGATATAATAGGAGAGTGTGTAATGGAGACGTGCTAGTGAATCCCTATGTTCCATTAGGAACCCAAGGGACTAATAATAATAAAATCGAAGTAAAGTTTTGTGAAATCCACTGAATAAATTTTGGCATAACAACAAAGAAAAACAATAACTTCACCTTTAAATAATTGAAACATAATTTACTCAACCAAAGGTGAAGGATGTAGTACAGTTAGATAAGCAAAGAAT